CGTAGGTAACAGTATGCAGGAGCACCTCCTGCATGTCTGCCTGTGCCGGGAAGTCCGCCAACTCTGGGGTACCGATCCTCGGGTCTTTCTGGATCAACCACTCAAGGCGCGGCAAAAAGGCCGAGTACTCCATGAGGACCAGCTACGGCTTGGGAGTGTACAGTATTTCCGGGTTGAGGGTTTGGAAACTGAGAATTCACATGGGGATGCTGTGGGACAGTGATGCGGTCTAGTCCTATGCCCTTTGCACAGCTTCTTTGTCCTGTGACATGTCTTGCATAATTATGTCCATTGTCCTTTTCTGGACCCGCTGTTATAGGTCTCGCTTAAGTTCAAATTCTGGCGAGACTGCCGTAAAGCTGTCTAGGGGTCACGGTCTGTATTGCCCTGAAACAGATACCGCTTCCTCCTGAGATCCGTCTACAGCTCGCACTCGGAGGAGGGGCCTCTAGCCTTGTGGTCCCAAGCTCTTCAGAGAGCCGGACCTGTCATGATTCCGAAAGCTCAAACCTATCCTGTACTATTCCAAGTGACACTTCCCACTTCCGTCAACCTTCTGGTCCAACAAAGGCAACGAGTCAGTGCTAAGGTGCAGAACCAGGACCAAGCTGGGCAAACACACCACGATGCACAGGACATAGGAGACATCGCCGACCTTTGTCCGCTCCAATGCGTCTCTAGCGTTGAGTCGAGGTGCGAAGTTGTTCTAAAGTCCAGGTGTTGCTGCGCACGGAGACTGCGGAATCAGCAATGTGTCAAAGACTCGCGCCCAGGATCTGTTGCTCAAACTAAGTCCGACTGGCTGAGTGACACATGAGATGCAGCGCAAGCTCCTTGAGCACGCCAGACCCGACTAACCTTCTAAGCCAAGAACTTGCAAGGTACTCAAACAAGGAAGATGACCTTACTTCCGCAGAATACCTTTCATGACTTCCCGACTCCGTATCAATGCCGTCGGAGATGCGATCTCCACCCCGGCGACATTGGTCACCACTGCCTTGGTTTGTGGAGAGGCTCCGGCGCTGCCTTCTCCCAATCCTATGTACACAAATACACACGGAGAAAAACATGGACACAAACGTGTCTGGGGGTATGCTAATCTCTCCTGGGAAAAGATTTTGTACAGGATCTTTCTCTCATGCCGCGTCAGTCACGGCTGCCACCAGCACAAAGCTGGTCCACCAGCGTTGTGTGGCGGAGAGCGTCGTGCCTTCAGATTCATGTTTCCCTGTTGTATTCAACCAACCACAACTCGGTTGTCTTGGCCCAAACACTTCTGTCGGTAGCTGGTCATGCGCATGCCAAGACTGTCTGCACATGGCGCCGCCTATGAGAACCTCAAGGTAGCCCAACGCCATCGCAGGCAGAGTGGCTACGTCCTTAGCAATGGGTAATTCGCATGCAGACTGTATTTTCAACACCATCTTTGTTCAACCAGTAATCTTCAATTAACTCTCAAGCCTGCATTCGGGCAAGCGTGGCATAAGTGACACCATACCTAACGAGCTCTACCGACAATCGCGCTCAACAGTAACCCTGCAGCCACCACCAGCACTTCGGCAAAACATAAATCCACACACCTGAAATCAAGACAGGCATCGAACACGTTGCTAACGGCATTGAACCAGCCTGAGCCGTACTCCCCGCGGTATGATCAGGCGGTCCCAGAATCATGGGCGTTCTACACTCTCTGGAAGGGGAGGGTACATGGCCATGCCCTACCTTCCTCAAAGTTCTTACATGATCAGTTCAAGGGGAGGAAGGAGCAAGCGTACTGCCAGAATCCAGCTTGTCCAAGCTTCCAGCCTGTTTTGCCTAGTTGCGAGACTGTCCGACAGGGAAGCGTGCAGGCTTAGTTGCCATGCGGCAGATAACGGGCAGGGCTCCTTTTATTTTGCAGCCCCTCTCAAAAACTGCCGTCAAAGTCGCCGTTCATCCAGCCCACCCATGGGCCCCAGCATTTGTGGACAAAGTGGATCTTGCCACCTGTCTTATATTGGATGGGTCAGATGCCGCGAGAAGCAAAAACGTCAAAATTGCAGGTTCTGACCCAGTCCTTTCGAAATGCTTGCATCCGTGGTGTCTACATGTCCTGTGATTGGAAATGCTGGAAACTTCGCAGCGCACGGCTTGCAAGTTTCTGCGCGGAGTTGCAGTCCCAAACTCAATAGCGAGGTCTAGCACGGGGTAAAAAACCTGATCACTAAATGTCTCGAAACCTCTCACGGGATTCCGGCAATTCATGGCCTTTGATGTCCACTAGTTGCTCCGTGCCCGCTTCCCCACTGCACGGATCTGAGGTCTTGGCCAACATGCGGGTCATGGCTACAAAGCTCTGCGGTCATGACCTAAGTTTCAGATCATGCGATCGTAGGAATATGATCTCCCCCGTCGGTGCACGAGATTCAATCACCACGCATGCAAGGCTGCTGTTCCACATCATGTGCAGGTTGAGTTGAACGGAACAACTGAAAGTGAGGCTTATGCCTAGAGCATGCTGTCCTTGCTCGGGTTTCACATGTGCAGCTGCCTTGGCACGCCGTTAGCACGATGACATGGCCAAAACGCCAACCACAAAGCATCCTGAACAGTCAACGATTGACTCCTGATCTCCCAAGCCCTGCACTTGTGACCTCCAATCCAAGAGTCCCCAAAACCCTCCCAAGCCCATGCTGTCACCCGAACATCCCGACGCAGCGCGGAGCCGATGCTGAAGACTTGAAGATTGTTTTAATTTTTGGACTCCAGCAGTGGTGTGCAAAAAAGCTTCATCCAGAATAACACTGCAAAAGGCCTCAACACAGCTGACCCATCTCTGTTCTCCGTCCGTCCCTCTGGCGCTCTCTCGCTCACTCCGTTTAGCAGTTCTGTTAAGAGTCTAGTATAGCTTGCTGCAAACGTGCATCTGCACATGCGTATACGTGTGTTTGAACACATGTGACGTCTGCAAAGCATGTGCCAACAGTTGCACTTCCAGGGCATGCTTGCTCTGAACAGACCGAGGCTCTGCGATGGGCAGCGACCAGATCAGAGGGATAAGCAGAAATCCCAGAATCGCCAGGAAGGGCCCGCCTGCACTTAATTCTGGCAACCATGTCGCCATTGTGGCATCCTTGGCCTCTGGCCTGGTATCCTAAAATCTGAAAGCCTTGCAGCTTCACTGGGTTGGGGCCGTAAAGCCGTAGTTCGTCAGCCCCCGACCCTGAAGGCCCAAGCTGCTGCGAAATCGACCAAACCTTTGGGGATTCCTGCTTCCACCTCCACCTCCTCACCCCAAACCGACCCTTCACTCAACAAGGGGGCCTTTGCGGATAACCGGCTCGGCACCGTAGGGGCCCCCTGCCACTTCGAAGAAGATCATCCCCACCTCAGAAGCAGTAGCTTTGCTTTTCGAAATAGAGGCTGCATAGCAGCATATTGCAGGCACAGAGAAGGATCTAGTCCTTCAGCAGCCGTACCTACAGCTGCAGGATATCCAATCTTGAGGCTTGAAATCGGGGTGTGGTGAACGATTCATGAACGATGTCTATCCACCTCTCTCTCGCGCTCTTTCTCTCTCTTCCAATATATAACATACACACGCACCTGTCTGCATGTATGCAGATGTGCACGAGCAGGCGAGCGAATGTATTGCGTGACGAGCCTTAGTCTTTGTATAGGTGTTGGCACATCAAAGACAGAAGGACAGCGCGAGAAAGAGGGATAGACATCTAGAAAACAACTACATCAAGAACTGGAGAACGATAGGCGCCTCCACGCGCTCAGCCCTCCGATGCTCAAAGCGGAAGTCCGGAAATGGCAGGAAGCTCTAGCCATCAACTCCAGACGCATCCATCTGCTTGACCTCCGAAGCTGCAACCGAGGATCCAGTGCTCGAGTGCCCAGCACTTCTCGGAGGCCAGTGGCTTTGGCATCCCCGAGCAACCTTCGTGGCTTGTTTCTGTGGTGCAATGATTCGTGAGGCGACCTGGGAGTTTGTTCGGGTCTCAGCGCCAAGAGTCGGGTTTAGGCCTTAAGCCTCTCGATTAGCCACTCTTCGCGGTCGAGGTTCCTGAACAAGATCTCTCCAATATGGAGGCATGTTCGAGGCAGGGTCATAAAGAAAAGCCTACATGGATACTCATAGGCTACAGTGTCAAAGCCTATAAATGAAAGCACGTGTCTCACAGGTGCAGGCAGGGACCAGTGCTGCATGTTGTGCAAACGACAATGCTGTCAAACGGTCGGCCTAGTTACAAAGGGCGGAATGCGCACCAAGAGCTCATCCATTCATCTGAGGCACGGGGTGCTTCCTCCATTGGAGCCTTGCTTCTTCATGTTGCAAATGTCGCTCGTCGGCAGCTGCATGGCCACGAAGGCCAACTCTGATCTCTATCGGATTGCTGTTCCAAGTTGCAGCAGACTCGCTGCAGTTTGTACAGATCATGATCTGGGCAGCCGTATCCCTGCTGTGTCAGATAATGTGTTGCTATGTCAAGTGGTATATTGCATTTTGGAGGCCTCGTCATGGAACCCATTCAGCCACTCAACTCTTGGATTACTCAGGTGGGGCTGCGGTGGCACTGCAGATGTTGACCTCCATGTACTGCAGCTTGCGTGTGATAGTCTACATGGAGACGCCGCCACCCTGCGGAAATTAGACAACGAGCAAACTGAAATGAAACGCAGAACACGTGGCAGCCGTCTCTTCGTCTAAGTACTGGCTAACAAAATCATCATAGACCCCTTTACTTCTTCTTGCGCCGCCTATTCTTCGGCTCCAAATGTGCAGTTCTGCTTCGTCGCACACCCTGGAAGCCACGATGGTCAACCATCTGATTTGGGTCTGTGCTGTTCAGGATGACTGGAGGTTGCGGGCACCGTCTTTAACCAAAACTCTGATGGAGAGACATGTGATAAGGCACCCGATCTGGGATGTGTAATTATGCAACATGCAACCCCCTTACAACAGAATCATCCCATCCCCATCCTATTGCCCCTGCACCCGTCGAGCGCCCTGCCGCACCCCATCGAAGGGAGCTCTCCACGATGAAGATGTAGCGCCTGATCTGTCAATCGTAGCGAGGGCTTGATGGTGTAGCTCTTCTGTCGAACTTATCATGCCTCAAGCTTGAGCCCTCCTGTGAACCTTCATGGAACATGTCAACAACTTTCGGACCGTGGAGCTTTCAGGCCTTAGCAGCCATGTGAGGAGCACCTACTCCTTGCGCTCGAGGCTTATGGCTTTACCCAAGCCTGTGACGGAAGATTAGAGTTAGAGTCTGAAATTGTACACGACGGTTCTAACAGTCCACTGAGTCGGCTCATTACAAGTAGCTGCTCCGAGCTTTGGCCAACATCACGGCAAACCGAAATTCTGTCCGACCTGGCCAACTTGCTTCGTATTCGCTACTGATCTTGCTACCCTTTCTGCAAAGCTCTTTATGGTCTGAGGCACCGGCTCCACCGCCGTGGCGCACCACAGGGTGGCCCTGGAATGCTTTCGAACCAGTTCGCAAGCCCCGGAGTGTGGGGCTGCAAGGCGAATTGCAGCATCTGACAGCTCTGGGACCCTGGCTTCGGAGCATCGTTGCAGCACAGTCTTAGTTCGAAAACAGCAAATGCGGGTCATCCGGCGACCCCGAAAAAAGTTAAGCACCATCCCTCGCAAAACTTCAGCGGAACCGTACATGATGGCTTGCCACCTTCATGTCAGCCAAGGCACAATGAAAAGACAATTCGAAGAGCCTCGCGGGCACGGGCTTTCGATGTTGCGATTAGACCCTTAGCCTTCCTGTTCATTTCACTTTTCCTATCTCCTTAAATATTTCTTCCCTTTGAAACTTCGGAGCCGTAAGGCGTTCCTGCAGTTACCATATCTTTAACTTTGGGATTTTGGTAGAGATACTGGTAGCACAAGATATGGACCCTGCCTCTGTCTGTAGTCTCGCTGCACTGACTCCGTCTGTCTATGTCTGACATGAAGTCACACGTGCGCAGATCTGTACCCCAACAGCAGTTCTGATTCTGAGCAAAGCTCGGAAGACCCTGAGTAGCTGTCCTGCTCAGCCACTGCTGCGTCAGGCGTGGCAAGGATGCTAGCAGAGATGCAAGGCGTGCTCGGGCTCAATGGGCAGGGCGACGCTTCAGTGCAGGAGTTCCAGGCTCGGCCTACGAGGACTAAACGTGTTCGGCAGACAAAGGCAGTGCAAAAGCAGGCTATTGGCAAAATCACGACGACCACAAGCATATGTGCCCCCAACTGCAACGGAGTCCTGGTTAATTCCTACAGTTTCAACAGCCCGTCGTTCAAACAAGTTCGTGCATCGGTACATACGAAACCCAGACCCTGGACGACTAGAGCACTCAAACCCTGAAGCGCACATGCATCTGGAGCTCCACATCGGAATCAGTTGCAACCAAGCCCAGACAGGGCAATTGTGTGGACATGAGCACAGGTTCCAGCCACAACAACTGTTCTTAGTGAGATCGGCATCCAACTCTCGATAAGCGAACCAATGCAATACAATGAACACATGCTGGATGTTCAAGAGCTATCTACTGTATGCGCACACAACGCCTGCATGTGTGCATTCACTTTGCTCGCGAAGTTTTCTCAAAGATCCCACAAGACATAACGCTCGTTCGATCAACATGAACTGAAGTCCGGTGATTGCAAGTACTACGGTTCTGAAAACCACATGTGCGAACACGCGCATCTCCAGAAACCTCACACCTCCACCCGAAAAACTCCCCAGCCAGGCTTCATCGCGGCGCCGGCGATCTGTGCGACATCCGCAAGCCTCGGCCAAACCACCCTGCGCTCTCATCAACCGGAACCCGGTAACCCGTAAACCTGGCATACTGAACATGACATGTGGATGTTGTCAGAAGCAAAGGCCCTCGATCCCAGCTCTTCCAAGGGTGCGAAAGCTCCGAGTCTCACAGTTCCAGTGCATCCTATTTGAGAATACAAGGATCAAAGGCTTCGGGGTCTTGCGGACTGTGGATCTCAATACCCTGCGCTTCGCAAGTATAGCGTTTCTTCAAAAGGGGCAAAAACCTCGTGGCGAAGGGCTTTTGGGCGAATGCTCCAGGCGCGAAATTCAGCTTCCGGTTCCAGCTTCAGCATCTCACACCCACTCAGTGACATCGAAAAATTAACACCTTCACGGAGTCAGTTTTCCTCGCTTACCGGCAACTATCAAACTCGCTACCCGACCTTCAAACCAGAACCCGAATTTTAAGCCAAACCGTTAATCAAACAACAGGCTCAACTCCCACTTGCATAGGCACAGGCTCGTGGGCAGGCTTTGCCACCCAGTGCGAGCAAACCTCTGCAGTCTGTGGGCTTCTTTTCGCACGTTTATTGCCGTGATGCTGGTCATGACGTACAACAACACCAACAACAACAACAACGACAACAACTGGGTAGTAGTGGTGGCGGTAATAGTCGTGGTTGTTGCGCTAGTAGTGGCTCTTGTCGTCGTCGTCATCGTCGCAGCGGGGCTGGCAGTGCATGGCAGTGAAGGTTCTGGTCCGATGACCAGCTGCTACTTGTCCCCGGTTCAGTCTATCATACATTGCCCGGCACCGGGCAATTTGAAGCTAGGGGGCCCAAATCTACCAGCATTGCTTTCTGGAATGTCCACCGAGCCATGCTGCCTCAAGCTGGCCGCTGGGAAACATCTGCATACAAACCCATGAGCTGAACACCCCAAACTTGGCAGACCTTAACCACGAGGGCCCTGCATTTGCCACTGCGCCGAGCGCCGCCTCTGCCACGCGCCCCTCGCCCGAGGAGGATGCCTCATGCACGAAGCGACTATACTGTAGCCCGTAGCCCCGCAGCCTACACTTCAGCTGTGCGTGCTCTCGCTTTTGCATCCGAGCCTGCAGGAGGATCTCCAAGCCTTTGAAGCGTACCACCGCCTGGGCTGTGGCATCGTCCACGCAAAGGTCCCACAGGGCCTCGCAGCACTTCAGCGTTTAGGGGCGTTCGTTTGGGGGCAACCTTCCAAAAGCAACAACACGAACTTTCTGGGTCAGGCTTTGAAGTTCCGGCCTCCGTGCTCCAGCTCGCGAGTTTCCAATTCCAACGCACGGTGGTATGGGATCCAGCTTGTTCCGGGTACCCCAGTGCTCATAGCTATTCAAAGATGATGGTGAAGCTACCGTCAAGCCGTGGGCACTACTAGTACCTACCAGAGCATCACGATTCTCGGTGCCCCGAGCTAAGCATGCCTCCAGCTGCGATTCGAGCTCTGAGCTGACCTGGCCGCAAGATGGAAGCTTATGCTGATTGCGGACTAAGCGCCAGGATAGCTTGGCGAGATGTGTGTGCATTCATGTTTGTAAATGTGTATATACATATCATATACCCAGACATGTACATCGACGCATACATTTTTTCCAATTCGACCTGTCATCTCACACCCCTTCTCAAGACCCTGCCTCTTCCTTCTTGAGAATCTCCTGGTCCACCACATCGCGCAAAACCTTCTCCAACGGAGAGTCTCTGTCTGTGAAGGATTTCAGTACATTGCCGCAACTACCCGCAACAGGAGCAACTGGCTAAGCGCTTCCGAACGAACGAAACTATGCCTGGCATGTGATCCTGTGGGAATCCTGGAACCGAACCTTAACATGCCCCTCAAGGGCCAGGCCCTGAAACGTCTTCAAAAACTGGAGTCTGCGGGTCGAGGCGACTCCTTTTACTGCGGTAGGACGAAAGTTTGACCTATTCGTTGCTTCGTCGACCACAGGCCCCCATCCGCTTTAGAATCCTAACACGAACAGGACCCATGAGATACTGCTCCGGAACATTATCCTAACACGAACAGGACCCATGGGATACTTCTCCGGAACATTAAAGTAGTACAATTTCAAAACGGGGCATAAAATACTCCGCTGGCCAGGCCGCTACTCCGCAAGACGTCTTAAGACAAGGAAGGCCCAGTAGGTCAAAACTTTTGTCCTCCTGATATAAGCCCCCCACCTTGAGAATGAAGGCCTCTTCCACCTGGCAGGTGCCTGCGGCCTCCCAAGCTGTGGGTTGCAGTCCAAGGCTGCTACTGTACCTCTGGTGGAGTAAGGAATGACCAGGAGCTTTCAAACGCTGCCTTCGGTGACGGCGCAGCAATGTGCATCGTCCATGGAGGCTCTCTGAACGAGATTTCTTGGAGGCTTCTTGTGCAATCGGGAGGCTTCTGACAAGGGTTGCAGCTGCAATATCAGCCCTTTTGTCGTCGGGGGCCTCTCTGGTGTGGAAGCAGGCGGGTGTGTGTGTGTGTGTGTGTGTGTTGTGTTGCGCAATACTAGACTGGTTGCTTGCGGCAGGTTATGCTTGAAACATTCTGGCTAAACTAGTCTTCAGCCTTCAGCTGAAAGATGCCTAGAATTGCACCAGCCACATGGCTACATGTCACGTGTACTTGGGTAACGACGACGTCCTAGAGCTGCGAAGTTAGCTTCTGATTGAACCGTGACCGGATAGTCTCGCCCGCCAGCCAGCCAGGTAAAAGCCCACCATGCCAGAAGTTTTGTCAACACTGGGTCTGGATTGAGTGGAACTGCAGTGCGACGACTGCGGCAACAGATTTAGCTTGGAATTTGATGGCCAGGCCTTGTCATTCAGTGTCTTCTGGTGGATAGCTACAAGACTTGGTAAGCTGAATCTAGTCCAGCGAACCACTTGTTCATACTACTCCAGGAGCTTTTTCCCTCGATAAGCCATGCAAGTCTGTGTCCCGGAGCATGCTCCGTAGAAGCTGAAAAAGAATCTTGTTCTTCGATACCTGCGGTTTTGCATGTCCATTGACAGCTGTGCTGATACAGCTGAGAGCGACGAGAAGCCATGCAAATCCGCGGCTGGGTTGGCTGCAAAGCTGTGCAGCAGAGCCAGCCCAATCAGTGCAAGTTTCAGAAATTCATGTTTATTCTGTGAAGACATCGCCAGGCCTCTCGCTCTCTGTGGAGCTGAGCGTGGCGCAGCACGTCCGAAGACATTAAAAATCGCCTTCTCTTAGGTCCAGCCCATGACAAGAGCATCAAAAGAATCCCGCCCAAATTGAAGGCAGATCCCGAAAATGAGAGATACCTCAGCGAAGGTATCTGTTTTTGGGGCCTGCCTGCCGATCCAATCAGAAGGTGCCTTGCCCTGTACTGCGTGCCATGCCGCGGTGGCGAAGGTCTGTCGATCGACAATACCATGCCATCACGAGCTTGGCAGCTTCTCCGCACTGACATCTGAGATTGGGATGCAATGTTTGCAAGTTGCAGACGCTAAGTCCTCAGTTGCTACGGCAGGTATCATCTGATTCTGCCAACATGCAAACCAGCCAAGCAATTCTGGGCCCGCTGATGCTACTTGGCCACCCAGGGGCAGCCAACCTTGTCAAGGGCAAAGCCTCGTCGGGCTCACTTCTCTTCCTCGTCCTTGGGTCGGTTCTTGAAGATCCTCGGATGAAAAGCTCTGGAGACTTTGAGAGTTGAAAGACTTGCTTCCGTGCAGGTCAACCCGAAGCGGGGCTTGTCGGGCGGCACATGAGTAGGCCCTTCACTCCGGCCCTTTGCTTCACAACGCAATGTGCAGGAGCCAGCTTCACATTTTCTGGCTTGAGTGCGTGTGAAAGTCATAGCCTGTGCAGCAGCTAGGCGAGGCATATGATGTTGGACATCCTCCCAGCTTAGTTTGACTCGCACGCAAGCTTGGAAGAACAGCAGCTGTTGAAAAACATCTCTTTGGTACAGGCAGAGCAGCGAAGCCGCTGTGCATGCTTAGGCTCCCCCGAAAAGGGGAGCCTTCAAATTGCACCGGCAACCGCACTTTCCTCCAGGAGTGTTAGCAAGCAAACTATCAGCAATAGTGGTCAACATGCTGTCAATTGCGATACGAATACCAAGAGGAGAACTAAATCGTGTGCGATAAAGCAACCGAATAAAAGCCACACCGTGAATGAGAAGGCAGTGGATAATAGCCGCAATCAGGACCCGAGCCTTAGCCGTTGCACTGAGCAGTCTAGACTCGTTTAGACAGCAGCACGTATAAACTCTGTGGTGTTGCGACGAGTCTGAATACAATTGTCATGACCGAAGTCACAGTCAAACTTATGATGGTATGCCAAGAATACAGATACTGACAAACTGCAGATGCCAACAGCAGAAAGTACGACTGACAGTAGCTCGAATGTACGAGAGTTCATAAGAAAGTGCACGGGTGAACGCTTGGCGGACTCAACACAAACTTGACATCAGAAGCCATGAACGGGACAGAAGCCTTCTTTGATCCATGCGTGCTGCATGAGTCGCTGGTCGAAGTACTTGGCAGTGTCCTCATCGCCATCCTTGCAGTAGGAAGGTAGGAAGAAGCCATGAATAAACGTCTTGCAGATGCAGAGAACATGGTAAAGACCTAGTAGACAGCTGGGGATTTGTGCCTTCTGACCTCCGTGAAATGCAGAGCCTAGGGGCCAAATTAGAGGCATGGTCACACTAGCTCTCGACACACTAGATGTGCTGTCATAACGACGGAACAAGATTATGAATTGGTAAAGCCGTGACATTCATGCCTTGGAGGAAGAGAAAACTGAGGACCTCATTGGGTTCTTGTTGAGGAACCAAGTTTAGAATATCGTAATAGATCTATAGTAATCTATAGTAAATAATATGGTTTCCTTTTTCTGCTAACTTGAATTACATCCCTTAACAAGAACCCAATTAAGGGCAGCCGGAAGGCGCTCGGGGCGGTGTCAAAGATCTGGAATTCGGCAAGCTCGGTGATGGGACCTGCGCTGCGTTCGAATCCCTCAGGTCACAACTCCTGAGGAGATCCTTCGTAGGTCAGCATTGTTTGGGGGGATATAAGAGTCTCTGGGAAACACTGACCCATCTCATTTGATGCCACAGGCTTGTGCAGGAGTTCCCAGTGGACTTCTGACGAGCGACAACTCTGAAGCACCTCGTCCTATGAGGATTACCAAACATCAGTGAATGCCATAAAGCTCAAATTCCAGTTCGTAAACAGCAGAAGGAGCGGTCGCAAAAACAGCACCGAGGGAGTGCACACTACGAGACTTAGAAGAAGGGCGGTTTCTTGCTGCAGCAGAGACTATGTCAAAGCTGACGGTGACATGGTTGCAACGCTGCTGATGCTGATGACCAATAGTGCGTATCGACATCCCGCAGTTGGCGCTTCAGTGCTGGTTACCATGCGCGGCAGAACATCAGCAAACAAAGACAAATTGACCATCTACATTGGTGCTACTGTGAAATCAATTTTTTCTGCTGTGGACTTGCAAGGACGCGTCTCTCTGCCACTTTGGCTCGAAACGCCCCCACAACCCGGACAGCATGGCTAAATTGCCCAGGCACCAAGGCCCTTCGGGAACTTCCCAGTGAGGCCTGGGAGCGTCCACAATACGAACCCTTACCGGGCCCTCTGCTTTGTGGGGCCTTTGGGTTTTAGGGTTTATGATTTAGGGGTTTAAGGTACAGGGCTTAGGATTTAGGGTCTAGGAGTCTGGGCTCCGCGGGCTTCGGTTCTACCGTTCTACCAGAGCCTGGGGTCATCTGTGGTGGCGCAGCTTCTCAAAGCCTAAACCCTGACCTGAGAGCTGAGGTTCGAATCCTCGACGCTGAGTGCTCTTTGTCTTTGGGGCCTCTAGGGTTTTTCGATTCGCAAACCGAGGAGATCAGTGCTTCAAGGCTGGGCCCGAAGTATCATCAGGTGTTTGGCTTAACTAGGAATCAGAGAGACAAGAAGACACGTGTGAAGACCTGATAACATGCGATGCTTTGTAGTCGTTCCTCGCAATCCACATTCATGGTGGTGTTGTCTCGCTGTTCGGCCTGACAAATGACCGGGAAAACGGTAAACAACAATAAGGCCGGCACTGATGACAATGGAGTAGATGCAGGCACCGGTCACTGCGAAGTAGATGGCCGTACTGGCCAAGCCTCACTGTGTCGGGGGTGAGAGGTGTTCTGTACCGGTGGAAAGCCTGACTGTCAAAGCGTACATAGAACGGTACAACCTACGTATACCTCGGCCTTGACTGGCCGTGGCATCGTCCCAGGTAGGCCAGGCCACCGATGACTTCCAGAGGCAAAGGCGTGTTGAAGAGGACGGCGCTGCCCTGCGGGTCACCGTCCGGATTCAGGTGGGACGGGCTATGGGGTCTTGGGTGGACCGCCTGATAACTGAAACAACAAACCCGAAGCCGTGGGATGAGGTTGAACTGTCCAAGCCTGGAGTAGACAGCCCAAGCAGCCCGGGGCACGGCACATTTGCAGAGAGAGAGCGTAGGAGAGCGAATGTGCGGCCTGTATCAGTCCACCGACGAGGCTCATGAAGACCAGGAAGATGTCCTAAGGTATCCCACTGCAGCAAGCACGAATCGTGCAAACTTGGAGTCATGCTTGTCTTCCCGACATGGCGCCCCAGAACCCCTGGTCCTTCAACCGAAGACTGCTGTGACCTCTCTTGGCTGTGCAGAAACGATGAACTCAGGACCCTGCGAGCGTGATCGCCTCGGGATAGCAAGAAGGGTTCCACCACAAAGAATCCATGCTCCGATGCGGCTTTCCGAGAGGTGCAAAGCCCATCTTCCAAAAAGCCTTCTTCTGCTACATACCTTCACGTAGCGAGCTAGCTCTGCACCATTCCATGGCATACGGCTCTTCAGGAAAGACTCGCGACCCCCCCCCCCCAACCTTAAAACCCTAAACCCTAAGCCCTATATGCCCTATACCCTAAACGCCTCTACCCCAAACCCTAAAACCCAAAGGCCCCAGAAGGCGCAGGCCTGGCGCAGGTTGTATCTGAGCAGTGCGGGGAGGTCCCGGTTCGTGGCCAAAGCCTCCAGGAGTTGGGCTTGGCTCGAAGAGGGCTTCCTTCAAGAACTTTAATGCTTTTGAAATCAAGGGTTCGCAGAGGGTTATCAAAAGTTTAGGGCCTTGTCCTTCTGATCAGAAACCGCGGATTTTGTGGACCCCTCGGAACTTGTCGAGGCACTAGTCTCATCATCATTGCTGTTGCATGCATGCTGTTGCTCTTGCTCGGTGTGGGCTGCCTGCTCCAAATTGCGTCGCGCAGATCAAGCACTTGAAGCTCATGGATGACGGACTTCACTCCGTACGCAACTTCCCAGCCCCCGTCGCAGCGAACAAGCTGAATATCGCACGAAATCTGGGTGAGCCTGTTACACATTCGGCGGAATCTGATGGCCCCAGAGTGCAGCGGCCCAGCCCGGCCTGCATGCTCAAGAAGAGGATCAAGTAGCCTCCACCAGCGAAATGATTGAAATGAATGGTAACAGCTCCGATTCGAGGGTAGCAAGCCTTTCCCTGCCGTGCGACAGCTGTGAAGGCTGGCTGCAACACATGATCACATTTAACTAAACTGTCGCAATTGGGGGTGGCTGGGCAAAATGCCAGAATGTTTGTGGAACGGGTTCGCAAAGCCCAACTTCTAAACATGCACCGGTTCAGGTTCGATCGAAGATTTCCCAGTTGTTGGTGCAACATACTCAAAATGGATTTCGCAGACTTCACAACAACGACTGAACTGTTATGGCCAATCGCAAGAGCAACAGCCGAAAGACAGAGCAAGCAAACTCAGGAGTTACCACAATCTCGAAGAGTCGAAATAAGCAGCACGCATTCCGAGTGGTCAAAAACACGTGTATCTGCTGGTGTGATCTTCATCCTACTGAAGCCCCTTTGCTTTCCATCTACAATGCGCCAAGCCCTTATCTTCTATATCAGCTATCAGCTCGTCCAGTACTTGCACACTTCTGTGGCCCATTGCATGCTGCAGAAGGCATGCATCCCGAGCCAACGAATGAGGTAGCACTTGCAGCCCGGCTGCAGTCATATAGCGGCCTGAATAACTAGAACAGGGCTGTAGGAAGATTAATACCATAATCATACAGGGTAAGGGAAGATCATTCCCACCCCTAAATCACTCAGACTTAAACTTGCAACACGACCTCTAGAGCCAGCCCATGGAAGCCTAGGCCAAACGGCAGTGCGTTGACGAGGACGACAGGAACCACCTGGCTTCTTGAAGAGGCAGTGGCTCAGAATGTTGCAATGAGCTTTCGCGGTCATGTTTTGCTGATTGGGGTCCTAATTACCTTGCATGATGAACCCTTCCTGGTGCGACAAGCGCAATTCTTCTGGCCGGGAATAAGCACCACATTGTAAGACATAACCATATATAATACCATGGTAAAATATGGTGTATAATATACTGCTATGCAGTACACTTGGATGTTAAGTTGTGTGACTGCAAAGTCTGCCAAAGGCCACCAGGAAGTCCAGCAGAGGCTGGATCTCAGGGAACGCGGCAAAGAGGAACATTCCTGAGTATAGCATCTACTAGTAGTATACATTGATGTAGTTAATACTGAAGTACATTACATTCTGACATATTGCATTATACATGCAATGGCTGAAGACCTCTGCGGACGAATCAGTAGTGACGAACTCAGGCCAGCAATCCGTATCATCCAAAGCAGCTCATTAATCTCTCGAATCAACCCGAAGGCGTGAGGCCCTGCTGAAAGACCGGTCTACAAGAACAGTCCGGTGGGCAGGGGATGCAAATTTGCCAAGTTGGCCTCAAGGAATTTGAGATCTGGAAACGCCTCAAAGCCAGCTGCACTGCCTTCCTTCGTCCCGTTGCGTGCCATCGTTTGATGCCTGACATCCCGCGGTCTTTGTCCGAAACAACAAGTCCGACTCCGACTCGTCTCGCCAAGTCTCCGAAGCGCAGCGCATCGGTCAAGGGCAGTGCGTAAGCCAGGAGCGAACCGATCCGAGTCAGAAGGCCGGTGTCCTCGCTTAAGCACTCCGGGTTTGACGGGCTGGGCTGCTTCGTGCCATACGGCGACCGGGAGACAGTCCTTTCGAGTTTCATTCGTTGCCCTTTCCTTCTGATTTGGGGCACAGACACGTTCATACGGCACCGACAGATCCGTGCACTGCCGATATGACGCTTGAGACAAAGCTGGGTTTGGTAGGAACCATGAAACCTTGGCTTGTGAGGTTTGCACAAACCCTCTGTTGTGACTGCTTGGATTCTAGATCACAGTCTGTCCAGCAAGCACCCTAGATACTGGGGTTTTCCTGCGAATTTACTGGCGAGGCTGTTGTGGTTTAATGATCACAAAGTAATTAGTTAATTAGTCAAATCATGTGTAAATCAAACTCAATGCTGGTCCTCGTTGCGCGCCGGTCGGTTTGCCAAGAACTCATCCCACTCTTTTCCTGGGCAGAAGCTTCCAAGGCCGCAGCTCCCAGTAATCCAGGGCTTGCGCGCTCTGTCGTTGAGGTGTTGCATGGTGTTGTGGCGCAAACGGAAGCATCTGGGGCAATGCAAGCTTTAGCCAGACCTGTAGCCTGCGCACAATCCTGCACCGCTGATGCTAACAGCTGGCAGAAGTTCCATAACACACATCGGTATGCAAGCAACTACAGCTGCCGCTGCCTCTACAGCTATCGCTACTGCCTGTGCTGCTGCTTCTGCTGCTGCTGCTCCTACTCGTAGTCCGACTCCTACTGAGACTACGATTACGCTCACGAACTACGACGACAACGACGACGACTGCTACTGCTGCTGCTGCTACTACTACTACTACTACCACCACTGCCATTTCTACTCGTATTACTCATAGCGACAACCGTCGATGCTACTTCCAATTTTAGCCATGTCTTCGACCGTGCTGTCTGCCACTCCCATCCAGTCACTGCTTTGCAAGCTTCGGAGGAGCTCCTCCTCTGTGGATGCATAGGCTGCCGTGCGCTCGGCCTCCTCCTGCGAGCAAGCGTCCGCGCTATCGTGCTATCTGAGGGATGCATGCAGGGCGCATACAGCGTTTGCACGCAGAGCTTTGATGCTTTCCTCAAGAGTGACAAACGGGTCTTTATCAGGACCTTCCATGGCTGAAGAGTCAACAATTTCGTAATGCCGAGCCCGGATGTGGTCAGCATCAACCGGGCTCAGCAAGAGCCCGCCTTCGTCTGCATCTCTTTGCGGAACCTGGCTATGCCGTCAAGCAGTGTTGGGACTTGCGTAGAGCTGCACAGTTAGTTAGGGCACAAGATCGGGGGCGGGAGCTTGCGGCAAAATGCGGACCGCAGGATTCAGTGAACAGGCTGAGCATCAGGAGCATCGAGAATGAATCTGACTTAGCTGAAAACTGCCAGACTTTGGATTCACATGCCACATGCGTTTCGGTGCGGAAGGTGACCCAGGAACGGTCGTTTCATGGCGCAGCTCTTGCCAAACCCTGAGCTGCCGAGTAGCTCTCTGAGAAGTGTCTGGACGGCGGTGAAGTCCAGCTCCTGCGGTAAGGTGTAGCAGCGTAGCATCGGTGCTTGGCTGCAGATAGCAACTTCAGGCCTGCTCAGATTTCCGGGTCACGCCCGGCTCCACTCAAACCGGGGATGCGTTCTGAAGCACAGAGGAACCAAAGCAGAAGCCAACATCCACCGAACACGGCGATTCTCCAGTGCTGGATTCTTGGGTGAAACTAGTGGCCTCCTATTTCGTTCATAAGATTGAACCCTTGCCCCGCAGGCACCTCTGGCTGGATGATTCCATCACCTTGACAACTTCAAGTCAGGTACATGCAGCGCAGAAAACTGACGTCTAGTCTAGTCCACACCACATTGTAAGATGTGCGAGTGCTCTCTCTATATACATGGTCCTTACTGACGACTGGTCTTCAAGCTATGCTGACGAGCTGGGCTCCGAAACGATCCATCGCGCGTAATTGAATTTCCATGTGCCCGATGCGCCGATGCGCGCAAACGAGCAACCAACAGAGGACTCTGAACACGTAGATCCCAGTGGGGCTACCTCTACTCACTTCAGTTTGAACCTGCGAAGGTGTGCACTTCTTGCTAAGATTCTGTTGCGTTCCCTTTTGTTTCCCTGGCTTGTTAATATGGGTGTCCGAGGGGCCGTTCAAGTCCAGGGCCGTCACCAACCGCTCGGCTTGCTCGTCCGTGACATCACTGCCTCGTGACCGTTGCTTTGAAAGTATTTCCCGTCATCTATCACGCACTACGGATGACTACAACAGGAGGGTGCCGCACCTTCCAGAATCACTCAGGAACCACGACCCACACATGCATGACAGGACATTCTGGACAACAAACGATATTCCCGAAATTGTCCGCTTCCAGGCCGCCCATCACATCCTTGACGCCTTTCTGCAGCTCCTGATCTTATCTAGAATCATTCCGGATAGGGCTTCGATGAGTCGTGAGCATATCCTCCGCTTTTCGGAATTGGGGCTGCCTCGAAGCCTGTCGGCCCTTCGCAAAGGCATCTCCGCGAAGCCCAACAATCAGCTCCTTGGCATCGAGTGCCCCAGAGCTGTCGGTGTCCAGAATCTTGAAAAGCGCCTGGGGCCAGACACGCTGGCACGTGTCACAGTCACAAATGTATGCAAGCACAGTTTTGCGAAATTGCGGGTCAGCATATCCTTGAGCAGGATCGGTGTTATTGCTGCAGTCAAGACATCTCAACGCCTGGACTGGTCTTGCGGTGACATGCTGTGAACATGCTCATGCCAGTGCCTGCCGTTCCTTCCGTCGCAGCTCCTCCTGCACAGGAGGGGTTCCATTCACTGTGCAGACTTGAAGTCCCTTCGGGCGGTTTGTGATGCACGAAGTCGTTCAAAAGGGGGCTCCATCTTCTCCAGCATCTTGGGCTTCTGCTAGGAAGCATCGCTGACTTGGACTTACACCGCCTTGACAAAGCTCTTCCGGAGAGGGAGATCCCAAACCTCGATGTCTCTCGGTATTAGTAGTAGTCGTCGTCGTAGTGATGCTGGAGACAGTAACGGTGCAGTGCTTGATGCAATGATAATGGTAGCACAGGACAGACACAAACAAGTGCCTAGATTGACTTTTTGAGCATGTGCCTACGGTAGCAGGCATGCACACTCTTGCAGCACTGGTGGAGAATTATGACATGCTATGACAAGATTCCAAACTCAGAATTCAAAACCAGGT